CACACACACACACACACACACACACACACACACACACACACACACACACACACACACACACACACACACAATCAATCAATCAATCAACCAATCAATAATCTTATTTTTTTTATTTTTCTTTTAATTATCATTTATTTTTTGCAGGATCACGCCGCCGATCTCCGACCCCGTTGAACAACAACCACAACAATTCTCGGCCAACGCGGACGCGTTCCCGACTGCGTCGGTCACATCGTCAACCGCAGCGGGCAAAGCCGCGACTGCGGCGGACGAGTTCACAACTGCAAGGTCGCGATGGGACTGGGGTGGGCCTCGGTTCTCGTGCGCGTTGGCGCCCGGTGGACCCGGGGCGGGGAGGGGGTCCTGGATGCGGGGAGTACAACAATGACGGCCTTCAACGACTCGACGGGCGACATCACAGAGCGACATTAGCGCATAGGCTAGTGCGAACGAGTCATTCCTTCACAATGAGTCGGAGGGGGGGTCGTTCTGGGGGGGGAGGCGGGTCAGGGGGGGCAGATTTTATCCCTGTTTCCGATGCTGAGATGGCCAAGCTGAGGAGGTCCTCATGCGTTTGGAAATACGTTACGCTGGGGCAACCGGTAGGGTCGTGGGAGAAGATGCACGGTGACCGCAAGTTGCGATGCAACTTGTGCAAGCACCTGTGGCAGGGGAACCAATCGAAGGCTGCGAGGCACTTCTGCCAGTTGAAGAAGTGTCGTGTTGCGCAGTTCGACGTGCTCGTTGACATTCGGAACGGCACAGACTATAGATTCGATGACCGACATCTCGCATCCATCCGCACATACATGGAGGAGCACGGCATCAGAGACTCCCGAGCAGTTGCTGGAGGTTGTACAGGAGCGGATCCTTGCACTGCAGGCAGGGACGACGTGCAGGACGTGCTTGACGAGATGGAGGAGCGGGAGGGGGTGGAGTTGCCAGGGGAGGAGGTCGTGATGACGTCACGTGGGGAGGACCCTGAGATCCGAAAGGGGAAGAGGCCGATGGGGGAGACCGACCAGGCAGCGATCCGACCGGGGAAGAGGGTCCGCCAGTCCAAGATCGACGAGGTCTACACTGCGGACAAGCAATCGGTCTTCAACAACAAGTTCCTGCAGTGGATTTATGACGCTGGCATTCCGTTCAACTCATTCAGGAGGCAATCGTGGAGGGAGATCCGGAAGGCGGCGGATCAGCTGCCTAGAGAGGTGCGGATGCGATTTCCTGCCTTTAAGGAAATCGGTGGAGATGGAGTGCCCGAGCAGAGGGTGAAGGTGGCGGCTTTATAACGGGAGGTCCGAGAGTCGTTCAGTCACAGTGGCGCCACCATCTTGTCAGATGGCCGGAAATTGCGTGATTCTCGACCCATCGTGAACTTCCTTGCAGCGGGTGCCACTGGCGCCCTACTCTACCCCACCATTTGCCACGACGGTTCTGTACAGGAGACGGACGCCATTGTCTTCCGAAGGTGGAAGGCCAAGGACGTCATAGCTTTATGTACAGACTCTGCTAGTAACTACACAGCGGCCGCCCGTTTGCTCGCCGTAGGCCCCGATCCAGTGGTCCGGCGCATCACTTGGCTCCCCTGCTCGACCCATGTCTGCAACTTGATGTTGTCGGACATAGGGACACGAGTGGGGTGGGCAGTTGACACCATTATCCGTGGACGAGCGATGGTGCGATTTATTAAATCGCACAGCGCAGCTCTCGCCCTTTACAAGAAGAAGAACCCACGTGTTTCGCTTGTGCAGCCAGTTGAGACTCGCTTCGCATCAGTTTTTATGATGTTGACTTGTCTGCTTGGGAGACGCGACTCGCTGGAGGCGATGTTGCATGACGACGCCTGGGCGAGTATCCCTTTGCAGCGGAGAGTGCTACCCCAGGCGAGATGGGTGTGTCTCCAGATTCGAGATGGCGAGTTCTGGCGCTATGTTGAGTTCTTGATTCTTGTGATGGAGCCCATCCATCAGCTGCTGAGGCGGATGGACAAAGGAGGGATGATGATGTCCATCGTCTACGAGTGGAGCCGTCATCTCGTTCAGCTTCTGACAAAGCTGGACGTTGTGCCGACCGATCTTCTGTCCCCGTGCGTGTGAGAGGTCAGGATGCGGCTCATGCACTTGTTGTAGCCCGCTTACGCTGCCGTTCATCTCCTAAACCCCCGTCGTCGGTCTTTGAGGTACTACGCGTCCCTCCACACCACGACGGAGGATGCGGAGGTTGTATAGGAGTGTGATTGTTTTCTCCTAGCGCAGATTGGAGGTGATCCCACCAGCAGGGATTACCTCGTTGTTCGTGACGAGATGCGCCGATTCCATACGCGCAGTGGAGACTGGGGTGACAGGCTGGTGTCGGATGCCAAGGCGGAGGGTTGCCATGGGGATCAGGAGACGCACCATTGTGCGGCGTGGTGGTTTGCCCACGGCACTGCCCACCCTGAGTTACGTGCTATCGCTATCCGTGTGATGCACATGTGGATGTCAGCCTCTCCCGCGGAGAGAAATTGGGCGGCCCACGAGCGCATTCAGACAGCAAAGCGGAGCAACCTTGGCTTCGCCAAGCTGGCACACCTGGTTGAGATCACGACAAATCTCAAACTGGCTTTATGCAGGCAGTAGGGTGGCGGCTATGTGCTTCCGTGGGTCATGATGGTGTCGACACCGAGAGACGGCTGCTTGTCGAGGACGCTGGTGAGCCCGAGCCTGACGTGTGGGCGGCCAGACCTGTTGGTACGTTCACCGACCGGGAGATCAGGAGGCAGATCGATGTTTTTCGCAAGGACGGCACAAGCCGTCCTCAGGAGGTTTCTGCCGTATTCAGGGATCGGGCGGCCAATGTGCTCCCTTTCGACCATGTGCCTCCTCCCCCGTCCCGGGGAGCAGGAGAGGGTTCCGCGGCATCCGCTGAGGACGGAGAGGACGATTAGACGGACGTAGAGGATGTGGCGGGGGGCACAGACAGGACGACGGAGCAGGTGTACTTCACGTACGGGGGCGGGTCGGTCGGGCATGCGCCGCGGACGTCCGTCATCACGGACGATGTCGCCGGCGGGGCACAGGGTAGCGCCACTCGACACCCTCCAGCGGGTCGAGGTCGTGGCGCCGTTGCTCGCGACGTTCACCCCCGCGTGAGGAGAGTTCTAGGGGTGGCGTCGAGTGACGAGGACGAGGGCGTGGCACCTCACGCTGACCGTCTGCGGGACCGTCGGTTCGATCCGAGCCACCACTCCAGGGAGCATTCAGAGCAGCTTCGTCGGTCACACAGGTTGGCAGAGCGTAGCATTCCGGCGTCCCAGCAGCCTCAGGACATATCGGTCACGGAGGGGACACCGTCACACAGCGGCCCCGCACAGGCTGCGACATCCTCTCTACGCACCAGCGATTTCGATATCGCGGGTTCTCATGGTGGCTCACCTGTTTTACGATACAGAGTCCATGACAGACCGGATTACAGTACGGATGTGAGGGAGACAGAGGAGACTGTTAAGGAGAGGGATGCTCGCCTGGATCGCGAGGAGGAGGTACGGTTACAGTCCATGGCTCAATGGGAGGGCAGAGAGGCGTATGAGGCCGAGCAGCGGAGGCAGAGGGAGTTAGAGACGATAGGAGCGGGTCCGCCATCGAGCGTCGGACGTATGCCGACTTCTGACACGATGCAGCCCCCCTCTGGACCCTCTCATGTTGTGGGTGGTGGTGCTGACACATGCGGATTCCCCGCTGGGTGCGGGGGGCAGGCAGATGTGCCATGCGAGGGTGGTCCTGTCGGGGGTGTCGAGACAGTCCAGTCAGACACAGGAGCGGAGAGCTCCGACGACGGCGAGGAGTGTGCGGCCGCCGAGGGTATCGTAGGCGATGTCGTGATTGGCATATGCGCAGCTGGCACAGATGGAGGGACTCATGGAGGGGAGGAGGGGATGGTGGACGAGGGCAGTGTGCCTTTGCCTCAGGAGGAGTTGGTGGACGAGGGGAGTGTTCCTTTGCCTCAGGAGGAGTTGGTGGACGAGGGGAGTGTTCCTT